CGATGGCGCCGGTGGTGGCGGCCGCGGCGGCGGCAGGTGCCGGCGCCTGGCGTCGCAGCGTGCCCCCCTTGACGCCCCCTGGCACCGCTGCGCCTCGCTCCGCGGAGCCCTCTCGCCCGCGGTGCTGCACTCTGTCGGTCAACCTGCTGACTTCGGTGACTTTTCCCATTTGTCGAACTGAGTGATGGCTTTCTCGCTGTGCTCCGTCTGTTCTTTTTCTTTCAATCCCGTTCTCATTATCTTTATTTCGCTTTTCATTCGGTTTTGTCCTCGTAAATAGAGAATTAATCTTCTTGAACAACTATTCCTTTTATATTCCTTTTAATGAGTATTTTGCGCTCTGAGAATATTGACTAACAACACTTCGCCAAAGTTTCTAGTTTCTAAGCACTCTTGGTCGACATATTCCGATCTCTTTGATTGTTTGTCTGTTACTTTCTTTCTCTCTTTCTTTCTCTCTTCCTTCCTCTCTCTTTCTTTCTTTCTCTCTATCTTTCTTTCTTTCTTTCTCTCTTTCTTTCTCTCTCTCTTTCTCTCTCTCTCTTTCTTTCTCCCTCTCTTCCTTTTTCTCTCTCTTTGATTCTTTTTTCTCTTTCTTTCCTTGCCGCTGATTATAAATGTTCTGATTTTCTGTATCACTTTGTATCCCTCTGTGTGCTCATTTCTATTATTGTTCATTTATTCGCATTTTCCGTAGTTCTTTTTTTCTGTATCATCTTTTCGAAATTCTCTATGTATCATCGCCAATCATTCCTAGTTATTACAGTTATACACTTTCTTATATATTTCATAAATTTCCGTTCCTCGCGCCTACTTTCTGTTGGAAACTATTGCCAATTACGACCGACTTGTACGCGGGCCAAGATACCAAGGTGTCAGAGAAGAAATGTCGACGTTTACCATTTCCGAGCATTCGTAACTATTGAACTGTTTCCCACCCAAGGGTTTATTTCTTTTAATTATAAAATATCCCTACACCATGTAAACCACTACACTAACACTGTGGTTACTTCTTTAAATATCGTAATATTCGTGCTCCAATAGCTAAGCATAACCGGGGAGGTAAATTCGGACATTTTTTTATTTCCAGGGGTCGGGATTTGCTCCTTACGGAAAAAAAGCTTGCGTAAATTACTCTCTGCATGCTTAATTATATCTGAAAATCATGAAGAAACTCATTAAAAAGCACTTACTACTTCCGTTCCAAACATGGTGATGTTGTTCTCCATTTATTTAACATTGGCAACTTCCCATCGTTTCTTTACGTTTCAAACACATACTATACAAATCCTTTGAAAGAAGCAATTCCACAAATGATACAACTGAAAATATTTTTACAAAACTGCTAAAAAATAAATGTACTAAAATTACTTTATTGTTTGCACAGCCTTACTAATTTTACAACTCTTCTAATCATTATTATATTTTCTTGTATTGAAAACAAAACTTGTTCTTCTACAATATTTTCAAATTCTTAAAAGGAAAATGTAAAGTTCATCTAATTTTAAACGGCGTTCTACTCTCTCTCCTGACACTCGTTCCATACATTCTATGTTATCTGCTGATCACAAGTATTCTTTCAACTAATGCTTCCCCGCTTTAACTTTGCTCTTTTATTTAGAATTACATATTCCAGAAAATACTTCCTTGCTTACTCAATCGTCTAATCGGATATTTAACACCATTTTATAATAGAAACTGAACTCGTGAAATTCTGAACTCAAATCATCTACTTCACAACATACGTCTATTGCTATGTTTCTGACAGCCTTGTCATTCTTTCTCCTTCTTGCTCCAAAAACCAAACAGCTGTTGCTATTCTTCAATTTCCTATTTTGAGATAAGGAAAAACTCTCTGGCTCACTCGTGGACGACAGAGATAAAGTTTTCGACACAATCTTAACATTTTGATTATTTCCATATTGCATTCACTGCATGAAGAACGGATGAAAGGAACCATATATGCATTGATAGTAAGTTCCCGTATATTATTATAAAAACTATAATTTTGAGTTATCGTATTATACGCCCGAGCCGTTCAATTCACTATTTTAGTAGCGAATGTTCACCTATGCGTCTAGGTTTAAGTCGCCCGACATAATCTCTGCAGCCCAGTATCTTTGAGGCTGGTCTGGGATTGAGCGGGGCGCGCAGGTCGCCCTTTTGATTCCGGGCTTCTAGC